CTGTCATAGTAGACTTTTAATTAATGCGTTTTAATTATGTACATTTTACTGATCCTTACCATTTTTAAAAAAAGTTTAGATGCATCCATGAATTTGTGTGGGAATAAGAAAGAACAAATCTAAGTGAAAGGCTGGAAACAACTAGAGACAAAAATCTGTGAAAAAGAAGCTGTAAGAAAGCAATGATATTTCACGAAGCAGTCAAGATATAAATCTAGCTAAGTCCACCATGAAGCAGGGAATTTGACAAAAATTCTAGTTTATTTAGCGGATTTTTAGAAAATCCAATTCAAAAATGGTACGCAGATGCAAAGAAGCAAAACAATGAATTTACATATTAATATTACTTCGGATAATGCCAGCGTTGAAAAAGGGAGAGAAACATGAGGACTAACCATCATTTTTCCAGCTGCTTGTGGGGCAAACTTCTCAAGCATTTCATCTGGAATTCCGGCTGAAGCCCAAAACGATGTAAAATCGCGTCCACCATTATCGTACCAAATTTTGGCAAGATCGGATAAATCCTCATCCTCTAAAAAACGAAGAAGTAAAAGTGGAAAATTTCAAAAAAACTGGGAGAGTACCGTCGTCGAAGATGCCGCAGTGTGCGACAAGAAGCGTTATTATATTAGGGGCATGACTGAGTCTGAGTAACCGTGGACCAGGATGGGACAATAATGTACAAACATTCATCGCAAAATCAACCTGACAAAATTGAGAAAGTCAAACTGCGTCCAAATAAGATTCGTCTAACTTACTTCATTAGGCAAGCCGCAAAGAAGTGATTTTGACAGCCTAGTGTAATCAGGCTCAGTTGAAGGATTTCCACGGTCGTCTCGACGAATGTATTCTCAAACAAGAATTTGTGAAAGGAACCGATATCAAACAGATTGTGTGGAACTTTCAAAGTTGTAGATCACGAAGTTGATTCATTGAATTGATGCTGATGGATATGAACACGAGGAACTGGCTGGTTTAGATACTTAGTTAACCACTCACCATGGGTCCGCCCCATTCCAATTGGGCAGTCATTTGTAGCAAAAAAAGAGAATTGTCTGCCTCGAGAGCGAGACATTTCGCCATCCAGCATATCATCAATATCACCGATCGTTTCAATCTGTTCATACTTGGAGAGGTACCTTAAATCACAACCCAGGTATCCATTAACACTATGAGCAAACAGTTTCCTCGCCGACAAAATATAGGAATTTTAAGAACGACCAAAACTACCAAGTCAACATATATCCTTTGTTTGAATATTTGATTTATTGATAATGCAAGAAAAGCATGTTAATGTTTGACGAATATCCTAAGCTAAATCAAGAACTGTATTGGGTGCTCCGGCTAAAACTTACCTCATATAAAGTAGTTTGATTGCATGGTCACCTCCAACCACATCTTCCCCAACACCGAGCATTTCCGCAACGTCAGGCCACTTCTCTTGTAAAGCTACCTGCAGAAAGCAGCTAGTTCCCTCATATCACTTCTAATGAATTTACCTTTTGCCAGCCTCCTAATGCCATAACTGTGTCGTAAAGTCTGTAAAGGTTCACCTCCACACCTTGAACTGTTGGTAGCCTCAATGGAGCATTCCTAAATGAAGGAAATTTTGCAAAAAAAAA